GCAGACGCGGACTTGTCGGCCCCGGAGTCCCGCAGGCGGAGACGCAGGGAGGACACCCGAGGGAGGAGCAGGGACGCGGAACAATAAAGCGGAGGAGAGGCAGGAAACAGGACGCGAGGAAGAAGCTGCATCATTGCACTCAGCAGGTAGTTGCGCGCCTCTGCGGAGACTCAGACTCGCGCTGGTCACGCGTCCGAGACGCCCAAGCTCAGCTCTCTGTTCTCTGCGGGGAGAGTCGCTAGGATCCCTCCAGTCCTGCACCCCCGAGGTCCGAGGGCACGGACCACGCGGCAGGCTCTGCACCAAGCGCTGACATGATCGCTTTTCGTTTTCCCCAACATCCCCGAGCGGCAGGTACTGTTACCGGGTCCTGGGAGGAGGGCTTGGCTTTGGAGACTTGCGCCGGGTTTTGCAGAACTGGCTGCGGATCCTCAGCTCTGGTCGATCCTTGTCCTACACGCTGCCTGCACCTGCGCGGGCCTCTCTCTGGGTGGGAGGGTGGGAGTGAAGGAAGACAAGTACCCGAGATTACCAGGTGGCTCTCCCCCAGCCGGCCCTTGTCCTACACGCTGCCTGCACCTGCGCGGGCCTCTCTGGGTGGGAGTGAAGGAAGACAAGTACCCGAGGTTACCAGGTGGCTCTCCCCCAGCCGGCCTCCTGGCCTGGGGCGTGGAGACCATTCCGTGCGCGGGGGTGGCTGTGCACCTTGGAGAGGATAGCTCTCCTTCCCCAGGGGTCGCGTCCCCAGCAGGCGCAGCGTGTCGGGCCATGTCCCCCCTGGGGCGGCAGAGGAGAGCGAAGAATCTGGGGTCCGGGAACGGGCACGGAGAAAGTGGGGTGGCAGGAGGCGGCAGGTGAGGGAGAACGCCAGGCTGCGGGTGGGAGCGTCCACGTGGTGAGTGTGTGGCTCTTTCATTCAAACTTTGGGAGTCTCCGTTCCGGCGTCTGAGAAGGTGTGACCAATCAGAGTCCTAAGACGGGAATAAATTATGCAAATCACCATCTGGCGATGGGTCAGATGACTCTCATACTTTTTAAAAACCTACCTCGCCCGGAGTTCGCTGGGTGACAGTGGCGAGCCCGGACTTCCCCGGCGGGAGGCGCGGGTGAGGGCAAGTCCCGTCCTGGTTTAAGCCCCTTCACACTCCCTCCAACGCCCCGCCGCTCATTTTAGCCGAGTTTCCACTTTCCACCTTCGCCACCTCCAGCTGTCTAAGGCCACACCACTCGCTGGTGGAGGGAAGGTGCCCGCTCAGGGTCTTGCAGGCTCGGGCTGTTGGAAACCGCCAAGAGGTGTTTTTTTTGTTGTTTTGTTGTTTTGTTCTGTTAAAGTCCTGCTTCGCGGAGGGGTGTGTGGCGGGAAAGGATGAGGAGCCCCGTCCTGCTGCTCTGCCTCTGGAGCGCCTATTGTTGCTTTGCCGCGGGAGGCCCCGCGCCCCTTGGTCCAGAGGGGCCGCCGCAAGGTAACGTGCTCTGATTTTTTATTACCTCCAGCTTCTTTTCCGTGCCGGGCCCCTCTGTCCTGCACACCCTCCTTCCATCCCTCCCGGTCCTGGGGAGCCCTTTTATGCCGCGCTATCCCTTTGCTCCTCCTACTTAGCCTTGCCGTTCACCTGTTTCCTGGCGCTTCTGACCGGGGCATCGCCAGCGGGACCTCCGAAAGGCTGTAGGCTGGCGGGTGCCCTTGTCCTCTGGCTCTAGCCCCACCCCTTCCATCAGATGGATGGGTGCTGTCCAGTCAGCCCAATTGGCTGCCAGCAGCTCTTCAACCTTGTTCCCATCTTTGAACCTGGAGGATTGCTAGCCCAGAGGGTTAGAAGGCGCTCCCTCACCTGGAGCCCCTCCTCCTTTTAATCCAACCCTGTAGGTGTTTGAAGGTGAGGCGGCAGGAGTATTTGATGAGTGACTTCTTCCCCTAGATTGTCAGCTTCCTCCTCCCAACACTCCTTCCAACCCCCTCTCATTCTCCTCCTAGCCGCCAGCTTTTCTTCCTTCTGAGTTCTGCATGGCAGCCTCTCCCACTGGCAGAAGGAATGAGGGGAGGGTCACCCAGCGGGAGTGCCAGGGGAACCCCTAAACTGCACCCCGTTATTTCCTCTACTATTTGCTGAGGTTGGTCAAACGACGTTGGTCCATGTCAGCTTATATACTGGTGGGAGGGTTAATTTGAATGAATGAATGAATGAATGAATGGGGAAGCCTTGCTTTCCTTAACATGTCCCCAACTCTAGTGCTAAGTAAGAGTGTGACCTCGCTCCCCTCGTGTGGAATGTTAATATTCCTTCCAACTTCCGCGTTCTGCGATTCTGAGCATTTTGGGCCATTTCATTCATCCAAAAAAGTAGTTAGTACACGTCTGCTTAGTGCCAGGCATTCTTCTAGGAGCAAGGAAAACCCCTCCCCCCCCTCGTGGAGCTTACGTTTCAGTGGTGAGAAGACAGACAGGCATCTAATTAACACATTGCAGGATCAGTAGTTTTATTGCTGGCTTTGCCCAGTGGCCAGGTAAGTTTCTATTGAACGAGTACAAAAAAATGTTTTACATGAATGATAAAGGCACGCTTTAAAATTAAATACCCGTTGCATTTTGAAGTTATTTATTACATGTTCTTACAAGCTAATATCTTTTTAAAGTAGGATACTTTGTAAAACACTGTGTAATACGAAGTGGAACTAAGCAAAGCTGGCAAATTCTCGTGATCCGTCCGCAATGTGTTAAAATATACAAATGGTGCTCAGTGTTATGGAAGGTATGGAGTGCTGGTGGGAGAAGGTGGTGCCGTTTTAATCTGTGGTCAGGCTTCCCTCTTTGAGAGTTGAGCACAAGGAACGGAAGGAGGTGAGAGAATGAGCCACGAGGACATGTGGATGAAGAACAGCCACGAAGTCCCAGAGGTTGACGTGACCCAGGCGAAAGCTCGAGAAGTCTGGGGTCAGAGAAGCAGCTGCAGAGGCGAGCTATGCGGGTTTATTCACCAATCTCCTCCAGGAAGCCAGCAGACTCCTTTACCCTTTTTCCTAGAATTCCCCATCTGGTCTTTGTGTGAGTGATTATCTGGGTGGAAATTGAGGAGGTGTCAAACTAGTTATGTCCATGGCTCAGATTTCTGCCGGTTGGGGCTTTGTTCATTAATTACAAAGCTCTGCTCATGTGTATTGAGTTGCATTTTCTGGAACCCTGTCCTTTTTACATCTGATGTATTCTCCGCCCCCTACCCTGCCCCGCCCCCGTTCACCACCCTCTCTCCCCCATTCTGGTCCTTCTGTCCATGGTTCCATTTGCTTCCTGACTCTGGGATAAACGAAGCTCCTGGGATGGTCCTTTGGTATCTTTCCCCCTGATTTCTGAGTGACAAGAGAGCTTGATTTTCTAATTTCTTAGCCCGCTATCAAGGCATGATTTCCGGGAGGGCTGAAACAGTGTGGTGACGACAGCACCCAGTGTGTAAAGGCCATCAGGGCCACCAGTGACATCAGCTGTGTTCTGGGCGCAGGGTCATCTCCTTCATGGCACTGTGTGTGAGCAGGGGAACTGGAGAGAGTTGTTTTTCTGCTCTTTATGCTCCATGGCTTCAGCATAACAAACTAAAAGCATGCCTGGCACATCCTGGCTCGGCAAAGGGCATCGAGGATGCATGAGGTTTTTGTAGTAAATGCTAGAATCGAGTTGGGAACACTAGGAGAAGCCCATTGCATAACAGGTCGACAGCTTCTTACCTCCAATTTCAAACTCCAAAAGCTCCCACAACTAGAAAGTTTGGTAACTTGTTTGGCTGCAAGACCTGGCCTTACCTAACTTGAACTCACTTGGCAGCAACACTGAGCTGAACTGACCAGAGGCTATTATTTTGTAATTTTTTTTTTGTCCTCAAGTATGAGTAGTCACGCCATTTCCCTGCAGAAATGTTAGTGTGCTTGATGAATGGAGAATGCCCCAGACCCTGCGGGAGGTGTTATATAAGACATGGTGTATGTACCATAATGCCTTTCTAAAATCTGAACATGTCTGAATTCTGCAACTCCACTGGTCCCAAGCACTTCAGGAAAAGAATTGAGGACCCATAATCTAAAAGCAGTTCCTTGGGGGAAGGAAGGAGAACTCATTTGATAGGGAAGAAGGAAGACAAGCAAGAGAGACCTGTTTATTTCAGTCACAGTAATTAATACCAGTGACTAAGTAAGTGCTCTGAAATATAGGCGAGATGTCCCTTTTATAATATGTTGGCAACTTTTTCTGGGAGGTGAGGAGGAAACACTCAGCAGAGGTAAAAACTTAGAGGGATTACATAATTGACCCCAGGTTGTACTAGAGCTGCACCCCGGATCTGTCATGACTTAAGCCCCTTGATGCACCTGGCTCTGGTCTTTCTCCCCAGATGAGCTCCACGAACCCAAGGATGTGCAGATTCCTGCCAGACCCTCCGTGAGGTTTAACCTCCGCACCTCTGAGGACGCAGAGCATGAAGGATGCTACCTCCCCCTCGGCCACAACCAGCCCCTGGAAGACTGTGGCTTCAACATGACAGCCAAAACCTTTTTCATCATTCACGGATGGGCGGTGAGTCCCGGGAGGGAGCTCTGCAGCTTTACACAGGGTTTGGTTTCTTTTGTTTTGGTCAATTAAAAAGAATACTGGTGCTTCCAGATTCCACTCTCTGCCCCCCTCTTTTCTTGTGGGCTGCTTGTATTTCAGACAGCTGTGAAGAATGTAATGGGCACTTCGCTGAGGGGGCAATCTGGACTCCAGCAGGGTGGTGTTTGGTGCCGGCACACAGCGGCTTTCAGAAAGTGGCTCTCCTGAGGGCAGCCGCCCAGCCCCACCGGCTCCTCAGGATCCCTCTAATTACGCTTAATTACATTGGTCAACCGCTGCCTCACGGGGGCCATCCCTCCCTAAGAACCGAGCTGAGCTGAAGCAACCTGTCTGGCTCAGAGAGGCCATGAGGAGCCAGCTGGCCCGGTTTGCTGGCTGCCATTGGCACGGTGCCCTCCTGTTTGCATAGAGATGGCTCTTTAAAGGCATTGGGGCTCTCAATGTGCCCTAGCTGAGCAATTCACATTGAGAGGTCCATGACAAACTTCAACAAAAAGGGGTTTTAACACTCAGCTTCAGAAGCTTTTGACCACCGAGGGATTTATTCATTCATAGAATGACAGTCTGTAGGAAAACGGCATTATTAAGTGAGCAGGTTTCTGCCTGGGCTACTTGGGAGGGGACATTCCTCTTCTTCTTCTTTTTTTAAAAAAATATATTTTTATTGATTTCAGAGAGAAAAGGAGAGGGAGACAGAGATAGAAACATCAATTATGAGAGAGAATCATTGATTGGCTGCCTTCTGCACGCTCCCTACTGGGGATGGAGCCCGCAACCTGTGCATGTGCCCTTGACCATAATCAAACCCAGGACCTTTTAGTCCACAGGCCGACACTCTATCCACTGAGCAAAACCAGCCAGGGCGACATTCCTCTTCCTAATGATGAGAAATTCATATCCATTACCTGCTTTCTGGGTCTTTAGGTCTATCACCATCTGTTGGGGTCAGGCCTGGGGGGTGGGGGTGGGGAGTAGGTGCCTACCTACCTAATGTGATTGGAGAGCTGTTTCAAGGCCTGTCCATCTGTCTTCATCCCAGAGCCCTCGATTAGAATCATGCATTTGAATCTCTTTAAGGCCCCCTGTCAAAGTGTAAATACAAACTGCCTGCAACTTACAAATGGGTTGCATTCCAGAAAGTTCTTTTGTGATCTGTTTGGAACTTGGAATAGCGGTTTCCCATAGAAGCAAGATTGTAAATGGCGTTTGGGTTCCCAGGCCAGGCACAGAAAATCTTTTTATCTAATAATGTGCTTGCGGATAGGTTTACAACTGGACCTTGTCACCATTTATACTTTGTTTCTGTGGGAAAATGTGCTCTGAGTTCTAATTTGGGATTCCTGGGAGAGCTCTTTCCTTCTCTGGGGTCAAGAAGGATGGATTGCGGGACAGGGTCATTTGTTCATTCTGAGTTTGCCGGGGAGACACCATCTCTCTGTATCTTCAAGAGAGAAGCTAATTCTCCAAGGCAACCCATCCAAGCAGCCTTTGAATGATGGAGCAGGCCACCTGCCCGACTGTGATAGGAA